TCCTACCCTCTCTCTCTCGTGGGCGGCCACCGCATGGACAAATCCTTTTAAATGCCGGTTACCCTCATGGACCTGCATGACCCGTTGGATTTTCTACCACGGTGTCCATCTTCATCTACTTCTGTTCCGCGACAAGGTGAAAGATCACTTTAATATTCGTTCTACCGGCCACCATACCGATGTATGCCCCAAAGCACAGCAGCAGCTGTGCCATGGTGAAGGCGAAGTTCACCCCCGCATGAAGTGATTTGAATCACTTCATGCGTCGGGAAGCTTCTGCAACATGCTGTTCTTGCTAACCTGCAAGCATACACGCACGCAAATCACCTCATTCGCAACACCACGCCAGCATTCCAAGCCTAATCCTCGATGCACGGTTTCCTCTTGCTACTCCACCATGGCCTTCTCGACCGACCACCATTTTCAGACACTATGGCTCTGTGATGCAGGTTCTTGTTGCTGATTTGTTTCTTCTCGGCTGAGCCTCAAACAGTTTTATTGTTAAGGACAAAGCCGTTCATTTAACAAACACCCAAACATTTACACCCCAAACTCAAGCGAAAACTCAACCCAAATAACACGAAAGTGAGTACTTGGCTAAAGCTTGGCTTTAAAACAAAAAAGAAGAACGTGTAAAGTCCCCAAAATGTCGGATGAAAGTCACAACTACACGGCTCAGTTCTAACGCCATGATCTGGCGGGGCAGGGAAAACAGTAAGTTCTACCTCACCAAAACATTGCTGCTTGAATGATGGCGTATACCGATGTTTGCTGGCGGCGATGACAGAACGGCGCTCGTTCGATGACGCCTGTGGTGGCCTAGATTCGCCCGATGAAGCGGCCCGATGCAAAGCTCAGGCCCGTGGCCTAACTGCCGTTGCTGCAACGCACAGGAATCTGCAGGCTTTGCTGTAGAACGTTGTGGCAGCTCGCAATCCCTGGAAGGCGCTGCCCGGAGGCCCAAACCGGGTGAAATCCAGAAGGCTCAGGTCCACCACCCGACTGCCCGTCTTCAGCTTTCAGGTACGGCCTTCCACTTTCATTGTTCGCCTCGAACTGCCAGCTGTCTTGCCCTCCAGGATTGCTTTGTCTTGGGGCACACTTGTCTCGGCCTGATTGGCTCTTTAAAACTGCGTGGTGACCAGCCATTATTGCTTATTTTATGATTTTCGATTCTTGCGCTCTGCGCTCTCACACGCACTGATCTTTGATGTCGTCGTCATTCAAGCGATCCGGCACGTGCATTTGGTAATCTTTCAAGTACGCGCACTTTTTGAACATTCACATAACGCGCACCACTAGCATCACAGGCTCTCCAGCCTCTACCTTCACAAAGCATTCGACAACGTCTTTCATAAGGCTATCCTTGCCTAACTCTTAGCCATCGATCCCGACACCCGCACCTAAATCTATATTCGCGCGCTGCTCATGGCACACATGGCCGAAATCTTCATAGGGGACCTCCCGTCTCTCACGTACAAGCTTGTCCCTCTTGACACTCCTCCTCAGGCTGCAGTATTGTCGCCTTTACCATTTAATGTTAACCTCCACTCGCTCCCTGAAAAGCTGGAGACTATTCCCGGTCCCAAGCACACCCTGTCCGCTGACGACGTAATTTGAGTCAAATGGGTTCCAATGACCACATTGAGCAGACGTTGCAACGCGCAGGTGACTTCGTGACGTCCCAAGTGCGCGCGGTAAGTCTCACTTGCTCAGCGACCAATTCGGTCTTGCTTGTCATGCGGCCTTCACACCGCCGTCGTTACGAAATGCCTTACCCTACTATCACTGTGCACGTCCATTATACTGCCTGCCCGTCGTTCACAATCTCCGTGTGCTTGGGCTGATACTGCACTCTAACCGCAATGACACGCACATCTATGACAAGTTCTCGCTCTCAGTGCAACAGACCAGGCAATTACTCGCTCGTGTAGGCGAGTGGCGTGTGGAAACGTGAGAACATGATCTGCTTTGCCTAGTTGACATCTTCGTTGTTTAAGAATGACGTACGGCACCCGCACCTATGCTTGTCTCCTCCAGCCAAAACGCGACATACTGTTTTCATAATATTACACAATTGACGTCGTCGTCCATCGTACATACAAGGCTGCCTTCGTTTTTGCCCCCAAACTATCTTCTCATCCATTACTATGATTTGTATACACAACATCCTCGACAATACATTGTGTATTGTTTTCGTTTTGTGTTTATATTCCTCCCTGTAATGACCCTCAAGGGAGGGTTAAAGTATTAATAAATAAAATAAATAAAATCGATGAAAGCTCATCACGCACAACGCCTCTAGCATTCGCTGGGCGAACGCCACATCCTTTCCTGCAACGACCACGACACCTCCTTCCATCATCCGGATCTCGTCTCACTGCCCTCTGCTCTTCAAACGGCCTTCTGCATCGAGCCCCTGGTGTGAATATGATTGCGGGTCAGCACTATGCTCGCCGCCAAGCCTGAGCCAGCATGCTTCACGCCAAGTACGCTGAACACGTGGCCATTGTCTACGTGGAGGCAACTTGTTACAACCGGGTCACCCAGGAATGCTTTCGTTGTCCTTTCGGATGGATGGATGGGTGGACGGATATGAATGTACCCTTTAGATCGGGCGGTGGCTAGCGCCACCAAGCCGTAACACCTAATGAACCAAAAACTATATTTATTTTTTTTCCTTAAAAAGTGAGTTTGAGGATTCGTACTTTGCAGTGAAGAGTTTAATTTTCACTCGTGTCTTGACTTTAGCCACCAATCAGATAACCTCCTTCTGGTTAAGTCTACCCGCTTAAAGTTTATTTTGCCCTCCCGGTCCCTAAACCCCAGTGCTTTGAAAAACTCTGCGCCATCATCCTGAACTATAGGGTGAAGCCCTTTACAGAACATTATCAAGTGTTCGGCAGTTTCTTCTTCCTCTCCACACGCACTGCATACTGTGTCTACCCCTTCGTATTTGGCCCGATATGTCTTGGTTCGCAGTACTCCCGTCCTGGCCTCAAACAGTAGAGAACTACCCCATGTAGTATCATAGATCTTTTCCTTGGCAATTTCCTGCTTAAAAGTTCGATAGATCTCTAGTGCGGACTTCTTAATCATGCCCATTCTCCACATGTCAGTCTCCGTTTCCTTCACTTTCTTCTTAACCGATAGTTCTTTTTGGTTTGGCCACCTGCTGTTTTCTAAGTATTTACCAGTCAACTTCCTGGTTCGCTTCCTCCATTTTGTATCGACATTCTTCATGTACAAGTAGCTGAAAACCTTCCTAGCCCAACGCTCTTCCCCCATTCCTCTCAATCGCTTCTCAAATTTTATCTTGCTGCTAGCTTCCCTGCCCTCAAATGATATCCATCTCATATCACCTTGTACTCCCTGATTTGGTGTATTCCTGTGAGCTCCTAAAGCAAGCCTACCTATTCCACGTTGCTTAATTTCTAATCTTGCTTGAACTTCTGATCTCATGCACAAGACCGCATTGCCGAACGTCAGCCCAGGAACCATGACCCCTTTCCATATTCCTCTCACAACATCATACCTATTGTAATTCCACAGTGCCCTATTTTTCATGACTGCTGCATTCCTGTTACCTTTAGTCGTCACGTATATTTCGTGTTCCCTCAGATACTCGGTCCCATTGCTTATCCATACGCCCAGATATTTGTATTTATCTGTTATCTCTAGCGTGACCTCCTGTATTCTAAGCTCACTACCTTCGTTGTCATTGAAAATCATGACTGCTGATTTTTCCTTACTGAATCTAAAATCTAACCTATCTCCCTCATTACCGCAGATGTCCATCAATCTCTGCAAATCTTCCTTGTTGTTGGCCATTAGCACTATATCATCTACGTACATTAATGCTGGTAGTGCCTGATCAATAAGTCATTAATGCTGGTAGTGCCTGATCGGTGTCACCAAGCTCAGCGCCCTCTGGGCGTGCAATCGTGGCCAGCCCTGTTCGAAAGCCCTACGCTGTCGAAGCGGAGGAGGCAGCCATCGGTTTGGCAGCGACCTCGCCGGTGCTCGGGTCACATTCAGCGACTGCAAACGAGCCACCACGAATTTATTGCGAGGTTACATTGCCCACGACCTTGTGACTCCTTCACCGACTACGGCAAGATGAACAGAGCCTTCTTAAAGTAGTCTGATGACTCCCCCAGGTCACCCCGACAACGAGTCAGCTCACCGATACGCTAGAGTACTCGTCGACGGAGCGGGGAACCCCTCAGAGTCGAACGACCCGGTTCCGGAGCCCCAGGTCACTTACCACAAGATTACCCAGCTCTATCACCTCTAGTGATACATCCTACACATCAACCTTCCCAGGCCCTCTGGGGTCACCCGACGTCGCCTACAGACCTGTTCCTTTCCGTGCCCCCTCGTGGTTTCTTTGATCCACCCAGTCATACCTCAACGCTGATGCGTCTGCGGTGGCTCGTCCACGGTGAACCTCATCATCAGTAATTGCCCGGACTATCCCCTGCCCACCGGTATCTTTCGTCTACCCCCGACCAAAGAACAACTGGAGCCTCTTCTTTGCGGTACCAACAGGGACAACGAAACACGAATCCTGGAATGAGCGCAAGACAAGATTGAGAGACACGGTGGGGCAGCGTACTTGGTTTAGCCTCCCTCACCTCCTGGAAGAATAAAAGTGGCGACTCACTAGCAATGGGTTGCTGCTGTAGCAGTGAGAACAATACAAAAAACTTGCGAAATTATTTCAATGAGCTGTTGTTGTTGTGCGATTCCGGATAAACAGAACGCAAAAAAATACCAGTCCAAGCATCAAAGTCGCAGAAACGGTAATGACAAAAGCATGGCGCATTGTCCACCAATTGAAATAGTTCTTTATCACAAAACCATGCCATATTTGGCTTTCCTTGAGCCTACTATGATTCACACGACAGCTACAGCTGTATTCAAGAGAGATAATAAAGATGATTAAACACGCAATTACACTCTTTTGCAAACAAACAAGAAAACACGTAATCATTTACCTTGTACATGTACGTCATCATATACTCTAAAGCTTTTATATCCAGCTTCCGAAGCCTCCGTGTATGGCTGTAATCGCTGATGAGATAAACCTCAACAGCAAGTGAAACGAACTGCATTCTTGCATCTGGCAGGCAAAAAGTCATTCCTTAGGCATGGAAACGACACACAAGGTGCACTGTTGTAAATTGTACGAACCTGGAATAGACCTGTTTCCAAGCTTGCGTGCTTCCATTTCTGCAAGAGATAACCGTAACCAAGTGTACTGATGCATAAGAAGCACTAACAAACAATGAAATTTAATACTTGAAAGTAGCTATAGTCTTCATATAAATCTGCATGAAGTCGCAAGCTATTAGGGCATAGGTTTTACAGCACTTCTTGTACCATACAAGACAGTGACATTCATACTGTAATTCTTGGTACCAAGGATAGCTGAAGCTGCTCAATTATTTTGAACTCGGATAAATAATTCTATCTTTTACGTCAAACTACTTGGAACTTGACTTCCAATTCATTGAATACGATAATTTCTCTCTAAATCACAAAAAAACTATCTGCCAAGCTTGATATATTCACATGCTTCGCAAAACGTCAATTTCTAGGTATGTGGGATCTGCCAAATTTTTTTCAGCGAGTTTATTGCATCCGGGGTTGTAGTTCAATAACGGACCACTTTTGTTGTGTATTAGATTGTTATGCATGTCTTCTTATCCTATGCTATGCCTTGGTGCTGATCGCACAGTTTACTGAACAAAAAACTAATGAGAAAGCAATTCAAGAGTACTCGGGGGAAATAGGAATAGGCTTGCTGATTTAGGTTTCCTTTCAAAGCACCCTTTCGAAGTGGACTCAGGGCACTGATTTAAACTAATTCACCCAATGTATTGGCTTACCCAGTTGCTAAGCCGCTGAAGAGAGGACACCAAAGCTGGGCACAATTGAAACGTACGAAGTATATTCATATATTGGCACACAGTTCTGATGCTAAGGAACGCTAAAGTGAGTTCCTAAAGCTGAAAATTGGTCGGCGGCGTCGTGTTTAGTGCTGTGCGAAAAAAATCGGCGTGCCCGTGAGTGAAAAGTGAAATTTGATGCAAATAAATGAAAAATAAAAAACCATGGTCTTCGGTGATACCGGGGCCTCGAGCCTGCAACATTTTCGATCTGTACCATCTAAAGACACCGGATTATTCAAGAGTAATTGAAAGCGAGAGTATTGAAAGATAAAAACATATCTGTTAAACGAACGAGATGCGCAATGAACCCGCCAGTTGCTAAACGCACTCGCCATAAGAGGCCAAAAACATGAAAAAACAAACGAAAAAGGTATATTTTATACCTTTTTCGTTTTATAGGTATAAATGAAGGACTGAAGCTTTCATCTATGAGGCAGCAGCAAAAGTGGATGAAAGCAACTTTCTTCGGGTACGAGCCTAACTCACTTTAGGTGCATTACGAGTAACACTCCCTCTACCTTGCACAGTCTGTTGAAATGATTCACAATGCAAGTTCGCTATTTCTTGCTGCTTTCTTCGTAAGCTTGTGCAAGCGTTGCCCCGCCGCGGTGGTCTAGTGGCTAAGGTACTCGGCTGCTGACCCGCAGGGCGCGGGTTCGAATTCCGGCTGCGGCGGCTGCATTTCCGATGGAGGCGGAAATGTTGTAGGCCCGTGTGCTCAGATTTGGGTGCACGTTAAAGAACCCCAGGTGGTCTAAATTTCCGGAGACCTCCACTACCGCGTCTCTCATAATCATATAGTGGTTTTGGGACGTTAAACCTCACATATCAATCAATCATTGTGCAAGCGTGTCCACGAGAAAGCGGGGGGGGGGCGCAAACTTGGCTGCATCCAGTCCCCACGGACCGTTTGCGAGTCCAAAGGCAAACAGGCTATGCAGTAGATGCAAAAATTAAGACAAAACGATGACTTGCTGCTCACAAAGGTCACCCATTCGTCTTCGGTTCTGCGAGGTAAAGGTGGGAAGGAAGTAGCTCTCTTAATCCAGCAGCACGGGTCCTTGGTTGCCAGTATTGTAAAAAAAGCATGTATAGCTATCACCCTCCGAAATTAAAGAAACCTGAAAGCTCCGATTGAGTATAGGTATATGTATGAAATGGCAGCGTAGTTTAAATGAATAGAGCAACAGGAAGCGCTGTCCCCCCTCCTATGCGAATGCCTATGGCTACCTCCACAACAACATGGCATCGCATGTTCATTTCGAAATGAATAAGAACCAATGTTGTGTATTTTATTGTTCTCAAAAGGCTCACGCCTACTGAACCAAGTTGCTAAAATGGGAGAAATATCTACCCCTCGGTCATGCAGAAAAACAGCTGCTTATAGCCTCAGTTTTTATTCGTTTTATTACCTAACTTATTGATTGAAAAAAGTATTAGTTTTTAATCTACTCCACAAGCTCCAAACTTGTCAATAGTAACAATAAAAGATGTACTTACCTATAATTTTGTGATGAAACTCTCCCACCATAGTAGGAATTTGAGATATTACGTGTGGTGTGCTCCTTTTGCCGTACACTTCATTTTTTATGGGTTCAATTTTATGCGTTGAATTAAGGAGACCCACCTTAATAAAAGAAAGTGGAAAAACAGCTTTATTTCTGTCAAAGTCATGGACAAACAAGCAGAATGATGACAATAAATATCATCTTCAGATTCAGTTCCTGCCAGCACTGCTTAATCGCTTATGTATCGGACACAATGTCACGATACAGCGCGAACCAAAGGCAGATAAACGTTGACACAGCGACTCTCAGCAGCCGAACAGCAAGATCACCTTCTTTATTTTCGAGCAGCCAGAGCTTGACTACCTGGAGTCCGCCAAATCCCCTTATCGTCGTTTTGGTCCACTAGTACACACGCGTCGTTTGTCCCCCTCTTAGTGAGCATCGCCCCGATGCTAAACCAGAAGTACAGTTTTTTTAAAGTGTCTTGCGCAGTCACTACCTTTCCTATGGCATCATGCGCACAACGTGAACTAGTCCAGGGCGGTGCTGGCCAAGCTCGTACTACATGAACTGTCGAAGACGACCTCGTAAGTAACATCACTCAGTCGTCGCAGTACTAGATATGGCCCAAAGTATCTCCTTAGGAGCTTTTCAGAGAGTCCTCGTTTCCGTATGGGCGTCCAAACCCATACTCTGTCGCCGGTCTGGTAAACGACTGTTCTGCGGCGAGAATTGTAGCGGCTCGCGTCATGTTCTTGTTGTTGCTGGATTCGCAAGCGTGCTAGTTGCCTTGATTCTTCCGCTCGTTCTGTAAACATCTCGGCGTCCAGTTCGATGTCGTAACATTTGCGCGCTAGCATCGCATCTAGCATTGTTCGTACTTCCCTTCCGTGAATTAGGCTGAACGGGGTTGTTTCTTGCTTGGCCGTGTTGTATGCAAACGTGATATATGGCAAGATTTCGTCCCAAATTTGGTCTTCGACGTCTACGTACATTGAAAGCATGTCTTCAATTGTTTTGTTCAGACGCTCAGTAAGCCCGTTCGTTTGCGGGTGGTAGGCAGTGGTCTTACGATGGGTTGTTCCACTCAGCATGAGGACTTGATCCAAAAGAGCTGCCGTAAATGCGGTTCCTCTGTCTGTGATAACGACGCTTGGTGCACCATGCCACAAGACAATATTCTCGATGAAAAATTGTGCCACCTCTGCTGCTGTACTTCTCTGGAGAGCCTTTGTTTCAGCATAACGGGTAAGGTAATCAGTCGCGACAATAACTTAGCGGTTCCCAGTAGTAGAGGTAGGAAGTGGGCCCAAAATATCCATGCCAATGTGGTCAAATAGTGTTCTTGGGAGCTGCACGGGCTGCAAGAGGCCAGATGTTTTAGTCGGCGGTAACTTTTGTCGCTGGCAGTCGAGGCAAGTACGAACATGGTGTTTTACGGCTATGGTCAGTCTTGGCCAGAAGTAGCGCTGCCGTACTCTGGCCAACGTTCTTGTGTAACATAAGTGGCCTGAAGTCACCTCGTTGTGGCATGCTTCGAGTACTTCGGAGAGAAGGGCTGCTGGGATGACGAGAAAATACGCAGATCCTGTCGAAGAGAAGTTTCTTTTGTATCGGCCCCGTAAGCAAAATGATGACAGCGCTCTTACGAAAACAGTTGGTGTCTTCAGACGTTTGGTGCCTTCTAAGATCTTCCGCCCAGGTAACTAATTAGGGCAAGTAACTCAGGGTCGCCACGTTGTTGCTGCGCAATAGCGGTCGAGTCAAGCACACCGAGAAATGCTGTTTCCTCCTCATCGGATAGAATTGCCGATTCAATGGGTGAGCGAGGTAAACAGTCGGCGTCCATGTGGCGGCTGCCTGACTTGTGTACGACCATCATGTCGTACTCCTGCAGCCTGAGACTCCAGCGCACTAATATCCCGGTAGGATCTTTAAGATTTGTCAACGAACACAGTGAATGGTGGTCACTGAGGACTTTGAAAGGGCGGCCGTATAAATACGGGCGAAATTTTGTGACCGCCCATACCACGGCAAGGTATTTTTTCTCCGTCATGAAGTAATTAGTCTAGGCGGGTGTTAGTGTTCGGCTTGCATAGGCAATTACTCTTTCTGTGCCCTCTTGCAGCTGCACAAGCACAGCTCCCAAACCAACATTGCTGGCATCAGTGTGTAGCATCGTTGGGGCTTTCTCACACGCGTCAATATGATCTTGTAGATATTATGCTGAAATACACTTGAACACTAATAAACAAGAACTAAACGATTATAGCAAGAGAGTGCTGATAACGTAATTATTAGCAGGCTACCACAGGACCAAAGCCTCTTTCCACGATCTTCAAACAACTCTATTTTATGCTAGCTAATTTAATTTTAATTTCTCTGTTTTGTTGCTTCAAGTAACTGCTTTTTGTCTCTCGCTTTCAATTGCATTGTATTCAACCCAACGCATAAAGTGACTATCAGTTATATCTCCTTCTTCCGTGGCCTGCCCAGATGAAGCGCCTACCTTTAACGTATGCTAGGCCATTTTTAACAACGCGTTATTCCCTCATAATTTTTATTTAGTTTTATTTTTTGAGCCAGGTCTTTCACAATTTGTTCAATCAAATAGTTTGCGGTGCATTGGAAGGGCTCGCACTTCTTTATCCATTTTTGGTATGTCTCATCTTCTAAGCACGCCACTTCCTGCGCACCTCTTTTGCCTCCAGCACGTTTTGACTTGTCTGACCAACGCTTGCATTCAGCTTGACCGTAAAAAAGCCGCTTCACTGCATGACAGCTCATAAACCCGTACCACATTGTGTCTACGCATGGTGTATTACGTGATGATGATGACGATGAGTGATTTTTTGATTGGCGCAAGGGCTGATTGATTGCCAAAGAGCCCCATTTTGGTAGACTAGAGATATGAACAATCATATGATGCGTGGCTGTAAGGGGGCTTTAAAATTCCTCGCGCTAACGTGGGTAAACACGTAAGTATTAAAATCATGACAGTGGCGTGAAAATTGGGCAGTGAGAGGGAATGTTGAAAGGTCACGATATTAAGACTATGGTGGAGATGTAGTCACCACAGGTCTTCCTGAAGGTCACCTAAAAATATGCTGTGAAAACAATGTACACCATTTAAAAAGCGTAAACAATGAGTGAATTTCAAAAAGCGGATCCCTACCGATAAGCATCCCAGGGTGTAGTGGGAGCTGCTCTCGGAAGGGCAGTAAAAAACGCTTTTTTTCTTAGAGCGTCCAACTCATTACACTGAACGAAGATGTAGAGAACCGTAAGTGGTTCTCCACATCTCGCACACAATGGTGGATCATCTGTACACAGAATATGTGAATGTGTAGAGTATGTATGCCCTGTTGTTAGCCTTCTAGGTGTTACTTCTGTTTGTCGCCATTTTGATAATGGTGGCCAATGACCAAGTTGTGGCTTAATAACATGTAGTTTATTACTTGTGTGTCTATCCCACATGTTTTGCCAATAGCATCTGAGCTTTCGTTTCAGGAAAGGTTTCATGTCAATTGCAGGGATCGGTATTGATGCATTAGTGGCATCGTTGCTGGCGGATGCAGCCAGCTGATCTGCCAAAACGTTTCCTTGTATCAGACGGTGTCCCGGCACCCAGCAGACTACAACATGTTGTTTGGATGAGTAGACTGCGCATAAGAGTTAATAAAGGAACTCAAGAACTTGGTTTTGACATTTTTAAGTGTTTTCAAGGCTTTCACCACACTCAGAGAGTCTGTGTAATGTACCGCTTTTTGTAGTTTTATATGTGCAATGTGTTTAGCAGCTGCAAGTATTGCGTAGGTTTCTCCTACGAAAATGTTTGCATCAGGATGCGGGACGCCAGTATCTCAGAAGGATGGACCAATGGCTGCGTATAAAATAGAAGTGTTGAACTTTGAGGCATCTGTAAAAAACTCAGGGCGTGTGTAATTTTGTTGTAGTTCTAGGAAGTATGTGCGGATATGTACAATGGGTGCGTGCTTTGTAATTACCTGACTTAAAAACTTTGTGCCGTTGCAGAATTTCCAAAGCTGACGACGATGATGGAACGTCATAGTTTTGTTGTCGTATGCTCCGCTTCGGGTCCTTTGTTCGCAATTTCACATCCGTCATGTCACCGTTAACCCAGCTCCTTCGCGGTGAAGTGACCCTCTACTCATGGTTCCCTGCATGTGACGTTGCCTTAACTACTCTGTTCCACCCACTCACCTCCCCACCTATTCTTCACCCCTTCAACCCGATGGTTCGTATCGAAGGGTACACCAACGGCAGCGGCGTCAGGCTCGGCGCTGTTCTCGTTCAACGAAAGTCTATCTAGTCAAAAGACATCGTAGCCTACGCTAGCTGCATTCTGACTGTTGTATCGTGCGTTTGACGCAATCGACGCGATGCACTAAGAGCGAGAGGCCCGGCGCCCGAAGGCACAGGCTGGGGAGAAGAAGGAAGTAACACACATGAGACCCGGGCGGCAAACTCTGTGTACACAGGCACAGATAATATATACATATGTAAAACATTCCTTGTGGAGCCAGAGAACCGGTTCTGAGACCAGAACCGTAACCAAGACACCACATTATCCCCTCATTGTACTGAAGATTATTCGGGCTCCCAAAAGGTAATACGTTGCATACTGATAATTAACATGCATACAGCATGCATACCAATGTTACAACAGTTAACCAAGGACAAATGTACCACCACATCATCTCTTCCCCCGAGATAGGATATCGACACAGTCACTGTTGAGTTTCGACTGCGTCGACGCCTGTAGTGATGCCATTTTCACGACAGGCCTTTGAACTGTCACCGCCCACAGAAGTCTGGGGGAGCGAAAAAAGAGGCTTATGAACTGTGTGCTCAGAGTACTTTCGGCATAGTAGAGGACGGAAAAAGCAGGCAACGGTGCTCTGATGGAGCATGACTTCGCGCCACCGATGCAGAAACCATGCAGAGAGAAGGAACGGGAACTGTTGGCGTAGACGTGACTATGGCAAGCACCTCGGCAGCACGCACAATAGCGACTGGTTCTGGAATCGTAGCTGTCACGCTCGGCTGGTGCACCTCCGATGGATCGGAAATAGAAACAGTATCCCGGAGA